GGATTTTCAAGCTCCAAACCCTATTTATCCTCCCACAATTGAGCCACACACACAACGTAAAAAAAACAAATTTAAAAAAACCACAATTTGGCTGCAATTGACCCAGGGCAGTCCTTTTGGCCCTGATCTGGCCCTGACTCGAGTAGACAGTTCTCAAAATAAATAAATAAATAAAAAAAACAACCCTTCCTCCTCAACTTCAACAATGACCACACTTTCAACGCTTCTTGATAACCTTTTCTTTAAAGTAAGTCCTTTACTTTTCTAATCTTTGATCTTTAAACTAAGAACTAACACAAAAGAAAAAAACCTTCTCTTTGCTTTTATGCTAATTAGATAACTCAAGACTTATCACTTTCAGATTGAACACCAGACACTTTAACACTTTTAAATCACACACACAAAACACAACTTGATTGATCCAACACGATCTCCACACAATGATTCCCTTCCTTCAACACCGACAACACCCCCCTTTTATACCTTCCAACCTCTCCAAACCACAACTTAGCCTCAAGACTTTCCTTCTCTTCGCTCCGACCGATTCCGACCGATCTCTTGGCTTATTCCCACACTAAGGATCTTATCTCAACTCGATTCTTTCCTCTTTCTCATGGTATGTTTGTTTCCTTCTGCTTTCTTTTCTCATTCTATCTTTCTTTTCTACTACTGATGACATCATTTGTCTCTTCTTCTCATGGTATGTTGTTCCAAATGCTATCTTTTCTCATTCTATCTTTCTTTTCTACTACTGATGACATCATTTGTCTCTTCTTCCTTCTATCTAGGTTATCACTCCCTTCTTTCCCACACTAACTCCTTCCATTCAACTGCATCATCATTTCGATTTCGATTTTTTTAATTTGATCTCTTTTCAATGGATCTTGTGTTTCAATCTCTGACGAAATAACAACTAATAAGTTCTAATTCATTTTTCTTTCTCCTTCCAACTGTTTTACATAATACTAATTGATGTTTTTATTTATGGATTGATTCAATTGTTTTTTTTTTCTTGGCCTTCTAGAACCTCCTAGATTGATTAATAGGTTTTTTTTTCAATTTGATTCTGTACCTCTGATTGATATCTTTCCAGTGAAATGTTCCATTGTAAGTAACTCATGTTTCCTGTTTTGTGTTTCTTCTTCTAGTTCTTGTTGATTTCATAGTAACTAAAAAATACTTTTGTTTTCACTTCTATCCCATTTCTAGATTAAATCTTTCTTTCATTGTCCTTTTGTTTTTATTTTCTTGGTGGTTTGTTTTAAGCTGGATCAAATGGGTTGAGTAACACTTTAATTTGTATTTTGATTTGATGTTTTCTCCTTTTTCATAATCTATAAATTGTTTTCAGATTTCTTGACTTGAGTAAAATAAACTGAAGTAAATTAATATGTGTATATAAAAATGATCTAAAAGAAAATGCAAAAAAAAACTGTGCTTATAACATAATGATCTCAAAATTAAGATATATAAAAGAAATAAACTTTGAGTTTGAAGATGGTCTTCTTAAATAAAATGAAATTTGAATTTTGAATTTTGAAGGGAATTGAGGTGTTTATAAGATCTGTAACATAGATATTTTTTGCTTTCCACAGCGGTCTTCCAAATCAGTCTCATAGCCGAAAGAGAAGCAATGAATGCCCCAGCGTTTGAATTCCATTTCAACTTGCAAAAAGTGGTTGGTGAGCATGTGGGGACCGGATTTAACAAAGTTGGTGACCAAGATTCTTGGGTCGGAAGTATCAGCAGGGAGGTCTGCTCCAGCAGGAAAGCAATCGAGCAGAGCCTCTTTCTCGAGCATTGATAAAGAGGGCGGGATGAGCAAGAATTTTGAATCCCGACACATCAACATGCGCATGTGTCCGCGTACAAGAGACTAATAGAGAAGACACAAAAGAAGAAGTCTGAATGTATTGACTTGAGATAGAAATATGTAGAACCTACATGGACATGAGCCATTTTGAACTTTGATAAAGTGCCGAGTGCCTCATTTTGACAAATAGTGTGTGCCCATCTTTTGACACTCTTTGAGTGATTGGCTGATATCTTGTACGGGTTAGAACACATTGAGACTATATTTTTTATGAATTTATAGAAAGATAGACTACACAAGTTTTTCAGAATAACTATTTATGCTACTATGTATATAGATGATAAAAAAGAGATGGAAACTATGATATCAAGCTTTTGAAGCAGAAGAGCCTTTTTCAAGAGCGAAACAAGACCACAATATATACAAGAATTGAACTGGCAGTCAGTCTTCACCTCGCGCAAGGTAACAGGGCAACTCAAGGTATGTAGGCTGTCTCAACAAGATCTACCAAATGTCTTCATTAGATCCAAAGACAGTTTGCCGCCGTAATGAAACTAGGCAGTCAGGCGGGCAACATCCTTCTGATGTCTATGCAACTTTCTTGTAATATATGCCATAGATGTTTAAGTAGGAGTGGTCAAACAAATGTAAACATGTGTGCTTGATTCAAAAGTGAATACACGACACATGCATTTGGCCGGTCTTGTTGACTTCTGAGGGATTTCAATGGCGGCTGTTTGCTAAGACAGTGGAGGTACTCCAAAACCAAGTATCTGAGAGAGACACACATTGTCACAGAGGTTGACAGCAAGAAAAGGCTCAACAAAGGCAATCAGGCCCTCCTGTGCGAAAGGGTCTCAAGGTCTGAGCCTTTTTACAAAGGCCTGTTGGTTGGGTTTTGAAGACCTGTTATGTTGCTTATATTCATTATTTACAACAAGTGAATGGTGTGTGCACGTCTACGTGCTACATGGAGACCAACATGGTGGATGGGCCCATCCGACTCTATGTGACCACGACTTCAATAAACCATGCATCTGCACAGCGAGGCAAAAGAACATTGTAGAAATTGATGCTATTGACTTTATTGGTGAGCTTGCTGCTTGCCTCATTTTTTCAATTTTCATATGTACATACATTGATTGCTATTGGTCTCTCGATAGGTCGTACCAAAAAGGTGTTGAATGTGTGCTCATGCACTCCTGATGTGGTCCGCCTTGTTTGACAGGGCTACATGGGAGGTTCACCAAAAAACCCTTGAACGGCTTTCTCAATCCGTCTACTGCAATATCCTCACACTTTATGGAAACATTGCTGTGTAGGATTGGCGCCTTTTGTGACAGCTCAAGACAAGTATCTTGACGCTTACAACCCTTTACTCTTAGTAAGTGGAACTGACAAGGTTAGCTCTCAGCCACACGCCAGGATTGTATTTTTTAGAGTATTCATGCTGAACTACATATGAGCTTTTCAAACTTCCTAGTCTCGTGATTGGCGTATGAGATTCTCTTCTGCTGTTGATGCATTTCGTGAGATGATTTGATTAAAAGACGAGCTCACCTTGCGAGCTCTGCAATTATCACCAAATGATCAGTTGGCTACGACCGGTCCACCGTGTTTTGGACCAAAAGTGCCTGGTAAACGTCCACTTGAACCCAATGTTGTCATATGTTTAGATGGCAATTTCCAGCACCGTTGCCACAAGGCAGCTAGCACTGCATGGAGAGGAGAAACAGGGGTCATGCCTCACCGGTTCCTACCTTTGGAGACCATCAAGCAGTGGGAAAGTAGGATGGCTGTACACCGTGCGGCGCCAAATGAGTTGATTGTCAGTACTCTCACCAGTGCTCAATTGGTGCAGATTAATATCCTGATTGTGTCAATTGTGGAATGTATGTACAAACAATAGCATCCTTGCAGTCAACAACATACTTCCGCAGATGATGTACGAGGACGTCAGACCTTTGCCGCTTATGACGAGTCTGGTTTGATGGGTATGGCGTGTCGCCATGATCACGTCTTACAGTTTATCAATATAATTCAGAGTGGTGAGAGGCTAGTACATACAATTTTAACTATATCACGCTTTCAAACCAATCCAGATGTCTGTGAAACTAATATATTTTTATCTAAATGCTTTACAAGGGGCCATTTTCCAGTTGCTATGCTTGACTGGCTCCCGAAAAGAAGTTAAAATGATACAAAGCTTGCTGTGCTCTATGTCATAGGGTGTAATTTGGAGAAAGGGATTATAAAAGTAGGCCTTGTATTCACAACATGCTTGATTTATTCATACATTAAGTGATCCTGTCTTTGAAAGAGGAATTTGTTCTTGTTGTCTGATTTCATTTCTTATTATTAGTGTTCTTGTATCTTCAACCCCCGCCTAACATCAAGAAGCGTTCAACCCTTGAAGATTTGGTGGCATGTGTGTGAACCATTTTGTCTTTGACAAAAGCATCTGAAGCTTTTGAGAAGGGTCTCAACTTTTCACAATTTGTATCTCATGATCCCAATCTTATACACGCTTTATCTGTTTGTAAATGGAAAGATTATTTCCCACAAAACACACCGTGCCAAAGTTGAAAATTGTCTTTGTTGAGCTTTTTTTGAAAATTGGTTACCTACTTCCATTCAAGGCCGGCCTACTCATGTTTGGAACTAGTGTATTCCACTCATTTGTACACCAATGGCACTGCAAAAATAATGGATTTTTCTGAGGTGAAAAATCATTGGATCTATTTCACAAAATGATTAAAAATGCATTAATTCTGCATTATTTCTGCATTTTGCTGCATTAATTCTGCATTATTAATCATTTTGTGCATTAATGTCAATCATTTTTCACCTTGGAAAAATACATTATTTTTGCAGTGTGGGTATGTCAATTGCAGTATAATCCACGTCTAAACATGGATTGGGGATTTTCTGATGGCGAGGGGATGGAGCGGATATGGTCCAGGCTTGCACCCTTAGTAATTGGCCTGAGGTATTCAACAAAAACCCATCGTCTTTGTGCTTTGAATTTAAGGTCACAACATCATAACAAAGTTGTCTGCACAAGCTTAGGTGGGCTCAAAACTTCCTAACAGAGGAAGCTCAATACAAAAATTGATGTTGATATTGTGTTGAAACATTTGTAGTCAAATGGCTCTTGTCGCGTGAGAAGACTGCTCAAAGTGTCTTCATGGAGTCTCAGGCAAAGTTAGAAGTTCTTTACCGTCAGCCAAATTACAATGAGGTGCATCTTCTTGGACAATGGAACAGGCAGCAAGAACAGCAGTTGCGTGAACTGGTGGTTGAGAACTCAGCCACTCTGAGAGTTAGACTCAGCAAGCTTGTTACACTTGCAGAAGACTTACATGAAGCTGAGTTGAGTACCAAACTTCTAGACCCTTACCTTGTGCAAAAGTCTGGCTGATGATTGTGCAAAACAGAGAAGAACTTAAACACTTACGTGAAAAGAGGCAAAACGACCAAAATCCTGCCGAGCGGACTGAACTGGCCCAGCTTCCGGAAAGGGTAGCACTTCTGGAAGAGAAGATTGATGAGCCAGTGGCTGAACTTGGGGGCAATGAATATCACAATACACCAGGCGCTAGAAGTCAATTTGACTTATTTATTGGCCACCACACCACTTCACTTTTCTAGATTGCCTCATTCTCAGCTCCAAAGGGCTCTGGACTTATCAGAATCCGGGTGGCAAAATCTAAATTGCATGGAGCAAAAATGGATGTTTTTGCATTTCAGAAGATCAGTGATAGAAGAGAAGGTATGTTAAATACAACTTGTCAAAGCAATTTACGCTGATTTGATTGAATTGATTGAAAGCAAAGAGGTACCCGAGTTTAGCAGAAAATGAAAAAGATCTTGAGTGAGAAACAGGCTTCTTTCAAGTCTAAATACACAATCTTTCATCGCGTGGTCTCAAAATTCAATACAGACTTTCCACAACCTACACCAATGGCTTGCCCTTCTTTTGCAATTCTACGAGCCCTGGATGTGTACGATCAATTTTGGGACCTTGGTCAACTCACGCATCCAGGAGAGCCTTGGGCAGTGGATCATAATACACAAGGAGGGATACAATCTTACCTTTCTATGACACATGCCCGCAACAAGTTGGCTCAATTAGGTCGTGAGGCTAGACAGATGATAAAGTGGGCACTTGATATGGATGATAAGCTGTTGGTTCTGCAAACAAGACTTGTGGTCAAAGGTGAGTCATTGTATCAATTGCTTGTCTTTTTGATTTACCTAATTGAGCTGTGATGTTGGCTCAATAGATAATGATCCAGATAATGTACCAAATAAGTGGATGATCAACATAGTCGGATCACGAAGACCAAGATTGTCAGATAAGTTAATTGAGAGCTAAGAAGTATTAGTATCTTTGAAAGCTCAACTATCACTTGGTCAATCTTGCTTATGGATGGTATGGAATGCTGGCTTACCAGAGTTTTTAGATTCCACACTTGTTTACAGCCAGCTATCAGATGAAGAAGAGAGAGTGTTGCGGCTTTGATGGACAGAATTAGCGTCAAGAGCAAGAGCAGAGTGGCAGGAGGTGGCCGAAGCAAGTATTCTTCAGGCGGAGCCGCTGGATGAGGGTGAAGCTGAAGAACATTGTTTGGATGAAGAGGTTGGAGATGAAGATGTTGAAGTCAAATTGGGAGAGGAAGGTGAGGGCGAGTTAGATATAGACTGGCTTTTTTGATGAGTTTGAATTGGACTTAATTTTTATAAAAATGACTTGATAATTTTTAATTTGACTCGATTATCTAAAAAGAATTTGATGGAATTGGACTCGATTTTAAAACAATTTGATGATTTTATATTCAACTTGATCATTTTCTGAGGGAGCTTCTTTTGTCAGTTTGTCCTGATGAGCCGGCTGATTGGTCGGCAGAATTGATGTTGATTTGAATGAGTGGGCCGGAGGGAACGAGGGGAGGTGAATGGTTGCCTTTGAACAGTCCGGTCAAGGTCAGCAAAGTTCAACAGGCCCGGAAGTACATATGTATTTACAGTGCTCTGAGGTTCAGCATGCCCGCACCAAAGCTCTTGAGTTGTGTGGACCGTGCTGAGGGGTAGTCAGAGCGCTCTGTGGGCTGTTCGGAGCGCTCTGAGTAGACTTTCAACAAAGATGTAATATAACACTTGTCTCAAGGTGTTGAAACTGCACTATATGATAATTAGAATGCTTATAAGCTCATGGAAGCTTTCTTTCTTTTCAAATTTCTTGACTTGACTTATTTTTTGTGCTCGAAAAAGGTGTTCCAGGACTCCTGAGGTGTTCTGTGTGCAAGAACGGGCTTGACTGTCCGCGGTACAGCGCACATTATAAGGGGCTTACATGTCATGCTAGACAGGCTACACAGGTGCCCATTGGCCCCCACAGTGGACTTGCAGCAGGATTCAGATGAAGAGAACACCCAGACTCAAAAACAAAAACGAAATCAGGATGCTAAGGGGGAATACAACAGTCCATATGCGTTTTTTGGCACACCTGAACACGGAGTCAATCAACATGGAGACCAGACATAAGCATTTCTCCTTCCTCACCCGTCTTTATCTTTTCTTCCAATTTATTCATTGGACACTGATGTTTCATGCATTTATAGCCTTGTGATGGACCACCTATGTCCTATACCCGTGTCTGGTGTAGGAAGCCAGTTGGGATCAGCGGGAGTTCTCGAATCAACCTCAAAGTTCATCACGATGGAAGCAATGCAGCTGGTAAGTTAGGTGCAGGCTGTCCTTGACGTCAACAGGCCATTTGGCTGGCGCCAAACTCCCACCTACTGTCTCCGACCTCCAAGCTCAATGTCTCCAAAACAATCATCAAGGCTTGATTGCTGGTTTTGTGACGGCTCCACCCACGTTTTCAGTCAAGACACTGAACCAGTTTCTTGCTGTTTGGCAAGTTGCTCAAGCCCTTCCTTTTGAGAGGATCAATGATCCTCTTCTCAAGGCCATTCTGTATTGGCTTTGACCTGAGGCCCAAGTATATGGTTGAAAGTGGTCGGCGGATGAGGCCAAACGTTTTTACTGATCACTTCACACTTTAGTCATCAATCAAGAACTAAAGGGTAGTTTGTTATTTTTATTTCAACTAATAGGTCACTCAAGCGGATTTGACACTTGCTTTCAAAAGGACTTGAATAGAAAATTCTGTTCAATACAGGATGTTTGGACCGTTAAAGGCAATCTCCATGCCTATATTGGTGCTTTGGTCTTGTTTATCATGAAAGACTGGAAGTACATTGTCCGACACCTCAGGTTCAAGCTTGTGGCGTGGCATCACAAGGATGCCCTGCTTTCTGAGCCAATGGTAGCCATTTTAAAGAAGAATAACCTTTATCAAAAGATGCACCTGTGGCTACTAGACTCCTGGGGTATTACCCAGAGAAATATATGTAATTCCCAGCGGGTAATACCCCCATTCAATATGTACGAGTCGACGCCGCGGTAGCCGTGTCCTAAGACTTGCTGCCCTAAGGCCAGATTCCAAGGTCCTGCTGAAGGACGTGTCTTCACGTCTATGACACGTCTTTTGTGCTGAGACTCGCGCTGAAGACAAGTCCCTTCCTCTACTTCACAACTCCAAAATTCACAACGCCATACCCTCCTGTAATACACACTCACCACACTCCCCTCTCACTCCCTCAACGACTTCGACTCTCGACTCTAAAGTCACGATCATCATTCATCTCAAACAATTCAATCATCAACATCAACATCAACTCATTCAAGACTATCAAACCTCAATACAAATCATTCCACTGTTGATCATGTTGTTTCAAACTCATCTCAAGCTCTCTCAAGCCCGCTCATCAAGATATTCAACATTGACAGCAAAACCAACATCCTAAGACAAACGCAATCCTAAGTCGTCAAATTCAAAACTCAATCAAGCAAACTTTTGATCATGATTGACCAACAACTTACTGACTTCTTTTCTCTGTTCATTTTAGTCAGTTGCAAGTAGATCACTTTGTCCGAAAGAAATCATTCAGGCCATCTTATCAAATCTCGATTTTCAAAAGTGTTACCGCCGACCATACTCAACCTCACCGTGCATCGGATCTTGTCACTAACTTGACTACACAATGAATCCACCATCTCAAAACATCATTCCCAATTGATACATACGTACAACAGACTTTCATCTATATCTGAAGACTTTTGACTGCATCAAAACAAAGGATCGAGACCAACCCAAGTTATTTGTAAATACAAACCTATGTGTACCTTTATGCACTTAAAAGTATATTTTACAGCATTAACCCCCATCAAAAGTTATCTTTGTGGGGTTATCACTTGATGTGTTTCAGAAACATCATCAGACTTTTGTCCATAAGAAGAGTTACACATCCAAGGATGTGGTTTTTGTATGTTACAGTATCCAAACGACGATTCAAGTTATGAACAAAGTTTGTTCAAGAGGGACGACGGATCTGGAAAAAGCCTTCACGTGCGATCCATCAACATCAGCTGAGGAACCTAAGTTGTTTGAACTTGACGTAAAATTCCTATTGAAATGAACCGAGAGCAGTAGGTGTAATTTATGATGTTCTGCGAATTGAAGAGTAGTAGAGAAAGTACTTTGTAGTTTAGATTACTTTGTGTAGTTGATGTGATAAAAGATGTGATAAAATTAAAATTGATTTCAGCCAATTGTAATTGAGACGATGAAATCGATTTCAATCATCAAACGGATATTTTTTCAACGGCACCATTAGAAGTTAATGTGAAATAATCTGGAAAGATTGTATCGCGAGTCTGATGTATAGCTATAAGAAACTGGACTTGATTGACCTTTAGCAAGTTGAACAAAACAAGAAAACACTAGATATTGATATATTCGATTGAGATAGCAGTAACAAGAATGTATGTGAAAGGATCAACCAAGGAAAGAATTTGAAAGTTCACTACATATGTCATCGCCCACAAATAAAACATGGAAATATGTAAAATTGATTTGATACTATTATACGAGTCACAAATGGCTCCATCATCAATTCTCATCATCATACTCAGTCAGCACTGCCCAACCCGAACCACTCCTCTTCCTCTTCCAAATCTTTGTCAGTATCAAGGCCTGTGTTATTAGCTTCATTTGTACTTGTTTCATTTTGCTTATCTTGCTCTTGAATCTGTTCATCTTGCTCTCGAATCTCTTCATTTTGCACATTTTGGTTGTTGGAATCGCCGTTGACCATCTTCATTGTGAACAGTCCAGCGTTGAGATCGTTGAGCCAGAGTGATCGCTTGCTATTCATCGCATTGAAACCTAGCTTTAAGATCTCGCGAGGCAGGGTTGAACCAGGAAGCTGGATAAGCTCGACTGGGTAGCCCTTCTGTGGCAAAAGAGTAAAAGGGTCTGGACCTCGGGGAAATCCTAATGTTTTGCATTTGATCGTGTTCTCTGGTGTATTTGGATTTGTCAGTACTAACCAAATCAAAAAGACGGAAAAGTACTGATAAAACCTACCCAACAAAGTGCGCAATTGTTTTGCTAAGTCTCCCTTCACTTTATCGCCGTTTGAAACCTTGATACTGTTGTTGGTTGTTTGCCTGCCGATCTCAGTTGCAATCGCAGCGTTCACCGACAGACCTTGTACGTGTGAAGCAAAAACGGTAGGAAAATTGCACTTCTCTTCAACAAATGCTGACATTTGATCATGAGAGGTAAACTCTTGACACCATCCCGGTGCTTGCGAACTACCCTGTGTAAGAGCGTGATTACTCGCTGCAAGGAAATAATAAGCAAAGTCCATGTGATTGGACTCGGTTTCAATCTAAAACATGGAAAAAGAGAGAGGGAAAGGTAAATAAAGATACGAGAGATGAATGATCAAAATTCTACTCTGGTACCCATTGATTTGAAAGTACCCACCTGGTTGTGAAGTTTTTTTAACACACTTCAATGATCGCTGGTTATAATCGGGCAGTGATGTCCCACCTTGAGGTATTCCAGCAGCTACCTTTGCATAGACGCTGGATACCTTTGAGGTTGATACCATTTCATCATACAATTGCTGCAATTGAGATCGTTCTTCGGGAGTCAAGGTGATATCTGCATCATCATCGTCATCGCTGTCGTTGTTTGATGGGGGACGAGGAAGACCAGATAGGCTGTAGAATATTGGTGGGTGGAATACTCGTTTTTGCTCTCGGGTGAGACTCTTCCAAATAGCTGATGTTTGGCGATTTCGTTCACCTAGGACTCCTTTCTCTCCTCTACGGGGCACTAGGTGGTCGGAATATGAGATTGACACCTACATTAGTGTCTAGAAAGTACACCAGAGGATATAGGATGTGAAACTCACTGTTGAGCCCACTAGATCCACCAGTCGCCTTGGAAAATCGCTGCCAAAGCCGCAAACAATCCAGATTCCTAGTACCTCCAAGCTCGCCACTACAGGATAGATCAAGATGACCACGAGTCAGTTTCAGAAACCAAATCGATGCAAGACAATCACTTACAGTGCTTTATCTAAAGTAAATGATGTTACCCCCGCCATCAATGCAAGAACAGCCTTCTGCTTTTTATAAAGCTTCTTGATTGCCCTAGCCTCGGTCAATATGTTCTCAGGTACAGCAGTGCCTTTCACCTGACCCTCTAGAGCTTCTTCGATACGCCAACCAGGCCATTCTTTGAGCTGAGTCTTGTAATTATCTAAAGTGGGAAGAATATGAGAACGATGTTTGTCGGGATTAGATCTTTGATGGGATAGACTAAGAGAGTTATCGCATGTGATATTGGGTTGAGTTGAACTATCTCCAGTACTGCACTCAAGCCGGGCTATAAAATCAGCATCGTCATTATCATTTAGGTGGTCTTCAGTATTGTCAGCCAGCAGAATGGATTGTGAGTTTCCATCAATGCGAGCCCGTTTGTGGCGGCGTTGCCGAGCTGACTTTCGAGACTTGGATGGCTGGTGAGGGGCGTTGTTCTCCGTAGATGAGTGTGAGTCAGAATTTGAGTCTGAGGAATCGTCGTCTGGTTGATACACATCTTCCACAGGATGTGAATCAGAGTCCGTGTCAGAGTGGGGTGCATGTCGAGTTTGAGTCAAGGTGGTTGCTTGTGTCTGGGTGGCGTCAGGAGTTGGTGGAGCTCCACCTTGCGAAGTGATTGAGGTAGTGGTTCCTTCAGGTCGAGTGCCACAAGATCTAGTGCCACACTTCTTTCCAACGTTTGAGACAGGATCCGGCATGATTTGGTCAGTCGTAGGTGAAAGGTCCGGTTGTGATCGTTTTTTTTTAGCTTTTGAATTTGATTTGCTCTCGGAGATAGGGTGTAGCGGTTGAGAAGGTTGAGAAGTTTGGGCACCTGAGCGTGTCCGCGGCATGATGTTGAACCAGTGAAATAGAAGAAAAGGATAATGGAACTGATGTGATTGTTTTGTTCAAAATCGATTCTCAATCGTATGATTGATTTAAGTATACATTATCATTTCAAATTTGCATTATTCTTAGTCCCGCTTGGGATTTTTAACAATCCATCAATGGCAGAAACCCTAGTTAAGTGCGATCACTTAATCATGTGACTTCTGCGTGTCAACATAATGATATAGTACACGCAAACACATGCATATAGTAGTCCAACCACATTTTCATCATGATATTGTGGTTGGATGCTGGAGATTCAAAATAAGCATTAATAGTACATTGGGTTTGAATATTTCTGGCGTGTCTGGCGGGATGTGGGGGCCATCTGAGTACATCCTTCATGTGTATGAGGGTATTTTAGACCTGAGCATAATTACAAACCAAATCAAGTTTTGGTGCTTGAACTTATGAGACCTCAAGACAGAGGTGAACAAAAGGCTTAATGACTCAATCTCAAGACTCACGTTCAGATTGATTTTCCTCATATTTGAACACCCTTCCAATTTGTGACCAAAGGAGCCAAAAGAACTAATTTTGGTGTTGAAATAGCAATCATAATGTGAGGATGTGCACTATTGGTAATGAGGTCATTGTGAAACTTGTGAGCCTTGTATCATAGAACAATTTTGGCTAATCAAATTCTATGCAAGAGCACATCTTATTTTTGTTTGAGACATGTGAGTGTTCAGTAATTTGACAGTAATGTGCCTGTACCTGAGAGAAACATTGCTCAAATTACAACTTTTATAACAACTTTTATGGCTGTGGGAAGGATGGTACCCTAAACCGCTTGTAGCCATGTTCTGTGAGTGATTCAATACATTGCACTATCTGTGTGCCCCAGTGGTTTTACATGAAAATGTTATGGAATTCATTCCATAACGGAATGTACTGGTGAGTTACATTGGTAAAGTGAGGATTTATTTCAAAGTTTGGAATGAAACCCCAAACTTGAATGTTGATCATAATCTTGGGAGTTTGACCTTCCTTATTTATCCCACTGCATAGTAAGGTCAACCTCCTACAGACCACTTGTGGCCTGATTAGTGGATACATAGTACTATTTGATGGTTTTGTTGAAACACATCACACAAATAAAAATTCTTTAGTTTGGGAGTAAACCCAAAATTTGAACTGGGAAAACATTCATTGACCATTTGGAATTGTTATTCACCACAGTTATCAGTCAACTCACCTCCCTGAGGACCACTTATGCCCTGATTAGTGGGGGCGCGGGACTCAAATTCACCATGTTGCAAAAACACATCCCACAAGGAAAACTTCTTAGGTTTTGAAGCAAACCTAAAAGTTGAAGTTCTATCTTATTTTTGTATATGTTGCCTGTCATATTCACCCCACTACGTAGTCACCAGACCCACACATGGACCACTTATGGGCCTATTAGTGAAAAATTGGACTGTTTTGGGGAAGACACTCTATAAGTAATTTTTTGTTTGTTTGTTGAGATAAACCAAAAAAAAAATGCCTTTTTAATTACACTTAAACCTATGAAATAAACTCAAAATTTCAACTTTTTTTTTTTGGTCACCTCACCCATATTTTCACCTATCTACACCATATAGCCAGTATGTCAAAAATAACCACGCAACTGTCTTCATTCTTCAGGAGTTCAAAAAACTACTATATCAAAAATTTATCACACTCTGTCTATGTCCAGGGCATTTGGGGGTATTTGATGGTCTTTTTGTAGCACAATTGAGTGTGACATGATTAAAACAGATAGGAAATCACCTTACAAGTCTGCATTTCCAGAGCCAAATGTACTCAAAGAGTCTGAAGGTGGCCACTCATGAAAAAACTCCTTTAATGAAATTACTGGCTCTCTGCATCAATGAGAACTTTCATTAATGACATTTCTGATTGGCTGCCCATCTTCACCACCCCAATACACCATATGTTTAAAACCCTTTTTTGCCACTCAAGCACTCAATTGCCTCGACCACTATGAAGATGACGGTGTAGGCAGAAATATTGTGAATATTTAATCATCTATGCCCAATGAACACCTTTCATAATGAACTTAGTTCTAATATCCCCCGTGTTGAACTCACATTCTAATTGTTATATGAACTCGAATAAATGCACCTGTCTCCTTTTGTTAAGCATAGTATATTGCCTTTTATGATCAATTATAAAAGTAACTGATCTAGTGTGGTGATATGTGCTATTACAATACTCTCTGCTGATATGTACCACAGACTGAAGAATCACAATATCTAAGTCCTTTAAAAATGTAGTAAAATTCTTTCAAGGATTGATCCTATGTTTTGTATCTTTTGGAAAAGAGTGCTGAATGTTCTTTGATTGCCATAACCCAACCAAAGTTCTATCGGATATTCAATTTGATGCAATATAGACTCAAGGATGATCACATCCTTGAGTCTGAACCCTTACCTCTTGCATACCTCAAAACGGTAAACTCATCCAAAAGGCACTGGTGGCAAAGAGCTAGTCATTGGTGGTTGAAAAGGGGCCAACCCCCTGATAGGTGACTATATGACGTATGTCAAGCCTAATGAAGCTTGATCTGGCAGCAATCTCTCAATGTGTATAAGTTTGAATAAGCATTGTACAACTGTCATTCCCAAAGGGATAACAAGGTGTAAAATGACTGTACCTTATTCGAAAGCATCCGACTGTGCCTCATTTGACTGTACGTTTTTGCAAGTGTCAGCGTTGGTGCCTGGCTAGTTTCTAAATGGCACGTATATACTATAAACAAGGCGGTCAATTGTTGCACTTTATTAAGGTTGAGGGAGATGAACTGGAACGTACCATCAAATCATTCCAATTTGACCAATCGAAAGGAGCAATCCATTATCTCCTCAATCCTTGATAAACATCAAACACGATGACAAAAAAGGGCCGTTCTATTCAGTGTCCTGGCGGTCCCAATGGTAAAAGACGAAGAATCAAACTTATACCGGGCTCAGCTCAACTTCTAGCCGAGATCGAAGCTGCCGATGCTAGTTCATCCAAAGACCGGGCTGATAAGCTCGCTCAAGCTCTTTCTAACATTCAATTTGGACCAACGCAAGGCAATCTACGTGTACCTCTTCCAGTTGACGCAGCTGGTGACACGTCCAACCGTCAAGGAAACAAAATATTTCATTGTAATGATGAAAATGACGGCGATTTGGACGATAATTATATTGATAACTTTGTTCCTCATCCCGGGATTCCCGAAGACCTTCCACCTGTCAACCCTTCGTTCATCCAATATGTCCAAGGGTTGTATTACAAGAGAAAACAATTGAAGGAGTCATCAAATTGGTTAAAGGTCTTACCGGAGATGTTCATTGCTTACATGGATTGTTCCCAGCCTACCTCGCAGTGGGGTGATAATTCAAACTGGCACATCAATCGCAACCCACCATGCGAATGTGGAGTCGGATCCCAGACCACTCGAAAGGTTGATATGGTTGATATTGTGGAGCGTAAGCAGGTTGACATGCTCTTTTGCAAATGCACACATGACCAGGTGCGACTGATTCGAATGGGATTCATCGGTGGATCTCCAATTCACCCTCAAACGGCATACTCTATCCGCCTCCTCAGGTTACATCATCATCTTTGGAAGTATTGTACAGTCCGTACACAAGGCTTTACACTTGCATTAGACGAGTACCTTGATGCGTTTAATGAACTTATCCTCGTTAATGGGAAAAATGAGGTATGCTTTGTAAATACATACAAGTCAAGAGCTGATCACTGATTACCATGGTTTGTTTAGCCACGTCTTTGGCAAAGGACGTTCTCTTTGGCTGTGGACGCGTTCAGACACATGTTACAGATGGAGGAAGAGCTCGCTATTCAAGCACTACTCCTCACATCTCTTCAAATACTAGCCCAAATATGTCCACGCTGCTTTGGCCCATTGCAACCGAATGAAGAGCCCGATGAATGTGACTACATAGTTTGCTGTGACGGTAACTTCCAGCACCGTCGACACAAAGCTGCCAGCCGCGAGTATGATGAGAAAGATGTTGTAATGCCTCCTCTCTTCATGCACCCGGAAGATGTTGAAAAGTGGAATCCTGGTCTTTCAAAGAAAGAGCAGGAAAAGGAGTGTATGGTATGTACTATATTGATATTGGAACCATGGATCACACAAGCTTTCATGCCTACTTGTGTCATCTCTTTGCTTCAACCAGGATCCGTGTACGTCACAGCATACTGCTGCTGCGGATCACCGAGGAGCAAGCACCTGGAAAGGCTGTGATGAAACTGGTCTAATAGGCATGGCGTGCAGACACAACCATGTGCTGAATTTTGTGAATGTGGTTCAAAGCGGGGAGAGGTAAGCATGTCTCATTCAGCTCATTCACTAAATATATAATCAAATTGTCATTTTTAAAAATCTTTTAACAATAGGCAGTACTATGTATTATCGATGATTGATCAGTTGATCAAAAAGACTCGCGAAACTGGCAAACCCAACAAAAGTGTTGGAATCCTATACGACATTGGATGTACATTGGAAAAAAGCATAATGAAGGTAAGTCTTCACACATTTTGTATTTTCAATGGACTTTAACTGATGAATCAAATAATAATAATTTAGAATAAGCATTTCAAGGATGAGTGTGATTGACGGGAAATCAAATTTGGAACAAGTGCATTCCATGCATTTGTTCACCAATGGTCGTGTCAACTCCTCTATAATCCTCGCCTCAACAAAGGGTGGGGATTATCAGATGGTGAGGGGCTAGAGAGGATTTGGTCTGCCCTCTCCCCGCTTGTGAGTCCCAATCGATATGCAACCAGACAGCATCGGTTGGATTCTCTAAATTTAAAGGCTTCTCATCGAAACGAGATCCTGCGTAGAAATGCAGGTATGTACTTCTCTGTTGTTTTCTTCTCGATGTTGTTGTTCCTTAATGGGTTTTGTGGGTTGCATTTGATCACTCAGTGCGGTCTACTACTCTGAAGCTGAGAAACGCTGAAAAAACATACGACACGGCCCTCAAAACTTTACAGCGACTCGAGTCTGAAAGTCATGATTACACAATTGGTTACTTCTCTAGTGAATGGGAAAAACAGCGAACATGTCAGCTCGCGGCTATGGCAAATGATGGTAAACAAAAGTTGGAAAACTACTTAAATGAATTGCTAGACTTTGAAGACAAGCTGAAAAATGCTCAGTAAGTTTGGGATAATTTTATAAGTTGAAAATCAGCAATTTGATTGGTCCTGATTGGTCGCTACAGAAAACAGATGGCGCGGCTAAGGAAGAAAAACTACCACACCATGACTCAAGCCAAGCGGGACGAACTCTTGAGGTTACCATCATCAATAGTTGCACTGGAGACTGCTATTCGAGGCGTACTTGTGCAGCTAGGAAGTACTGAATTTCAAAACCTTAAGGATGCAAAAGGTATGTGTTGCATCAATTTACACACAATTGACTTACTGATGATTCCTTCATGTTGTCCTCAGACCCAAAAGCACGAGTCCTAATCCGTATCCGGCTGGCGAAGATGAAGTTATATGAGGCAAAAGTTGGGATTATGGTTGCACAGGAACGTTGGGACAGGGGCGGATGGGGTGAGTTAGAAAACTTAAACATGTTCTTTCATTCAATATTTATAATATGTTTATGTAGGTACAAATAATCAGCAAGGACTAAAAAAGACGATGACTAAAAAGCAACTTATGTTCAAGCAAAAATGGACGTTGTTCAAAGGCCAAATTGACCATTACAATGGGATCATTCGGGGAAGGGGGACCAAACTAAAATGTCCATTGCTCGATGAGGCAAAGAAATTGGATTTCGAGGATTCCTTTTGGAGTCTTGGCCCACTGTCTCACCCATCGGAAAGATGGGCTGTCGACGCTGGTACGAAGGAAGGTATTGCCGCTTTCTTGAAATATCGAAGTTGTAACGAGGAGCTTCGTTGAATTGGCCGAGAGACTCGACAGATGGTACTTGCAGCATTAGAAATCGAGCAGAAGTTGGATGAATTGTTGGCTCGATGCCATGGTGGTATGTTGATATCCTGACTATCAATCCTTTGATATTTGATCCTGGTTTGCTTGACTGACTGACTCTTTTGAGATCGAGTTAGAATGGGAAGATGACAATCAAGGTAAGGACTTGATTGACTTGGTTGCACCTGGGCAGCGTATCTCCAAAGACGTGTGGAAGGTGAACGTTGGGGTTTTGAGAGCGTTACATAACAATCTTCGCCAACATCATTGTCGGACTTGGATGATTTGGGATGCCGATATCGCTGGCCTGCTTCGAAGTACAGTCAAATATACTCAATCAACAACCGTTCAAGAGACTGAAGCCTTGATTAATCGTTGGAACGGGCTGGTAGAACGGGGAAGGAAGACTTGGGAACATATTGTGATGGCCAAGAGTGTTCAAGCCACTGCGCTTGATGACCTAGAAATAGTGGAGCAGCACATGTTCTTTGCAGATGAAGGTGAAGGTCACGATGGTCAGCCAATGGATGATATTGATTTAGATGATGATGAAAGTGTTGTAGATGATAATGAAAATGAGAGCGGAGACGAATCGATGTGACCACTTCACCTGTCTTTTAATCTGTAGTGATCCACTGTTGTTGAGTGTCAGAATCAACTTCTCGCCGCAGAGTGATTAATTACATAATAAAGTAGTCCACTGTGTGTTCCAATGGACTACTTAACAATGCATCTAATGACTCTGCGGCAAAGAGTTGGTTCAAACAGTTCTTTGCAAGAGTCGTTTCAACTTGGTTCCTCGAATAGCCGTTTCAGATAATTTGTTTGAAGATTTTGTTCAAATTGTTGTTGGATCAAAAAGTTTTTTCAAAGGTTATGATTGAAAAGTGCGAGAGAAGTTTGGAAGTGTTGTTTGTGGCGAGTTGAAAATTAATTGGATCGGGAATTGACGGTAATTGACAGTTAAGTAAGTTGGTGAGGTGAGTGTGAGGTGACAATGGAAAGCTTCATTGGTCAATTTTTGAATTTTAAGCATCTTGATTTTGAGGTTGAACTTGAAAGTCTTGAGCATAATGAGTTGAGTTGATCTGTTTGAATTGTTTGAGACGAATGATGATCATGACTTTAGAGTTGAGAGTCGAAGTCGTTGAGGGAGTGAGAGGGGAGTGTGGTGAGTGTGTATTACAGGAGGGTATGGCGTTGTGAATTTCGGAGTTGTGAAGTAGAGGAAGGGACTTGTCTTCAGCGCAAGTCTCAGCTCAAAAGACGTGTCTTGGACGTGAAGACACGTCCTTCAGCAGGACCTTGGAATCTGGCCTTAGGGCAGCAAGTCTTAGGACCCGGCTACCGCGGCGTCGACTTGTACATATTGAATGGGGGTATTACCCGCTGGGAATTACATATATTTCTCTGGGTAATACCCCAGGAGTCTAGTAGCCACAGGTGAAAAGATGAGTAATATGATGTTTAAATTTTCTTTCTTATTGTTTGTTTGTTATTGTGTGCTGACATTTGTTTTGATAGTTTACATGGTTGCCAAAGTATCTTTATACAAAGAAGGTCTTTGATCAGGGTATCATTTTGGTTGGAAACCAAAGTTGATGGCCATCAGGTACTTCTGTCACAAGATGGATGCTATTGAACTTTTGGCAGTGATCAACAAAGACAAAGAGCCAGGCAGTGGAACTCCAGGATCCCACCTTAATGATCTCAATAGCAATGAAGGTGATGACCTGGAGAGCAATCACAGTAGTGATTCAGATGAACCTGATTCCAATGCCGACCCCAATGAAGAAGACACTGAGCAAGAAGATGTGCCTGAAAATTATTGCCGCCGCCAACATAGATGCCTCAGATTGAAAAATCCAAGGCATCATTGGATATGAACCCTTGGACATATCTTGTCAGAGGTGTTGATCCAAGGTTTCTTTTGGTGCAAAAAGATACCTCGGATCAACACCTCGGAACGATGCTGTCCAAGGTTTTCACTCCGATGATACCTCAGATTTTGCAATCCGAGGCATCTATGTTGGCTGTGATACCTTTTGGGTGACACATACATGAAGCAACTCACGAAAGATGTAAGTTTTTTTCCCTTTTTATTATTTCATGTTGTTTCATATCTGATGCTTATTGTTTTGAAGATGGAGACTGTCAACAAGAAGTTGACTTGTTCAAGTGGACATTGTGCCTATTTCAATTGGCAATGTGAACATGCTAACACTGAACGTCAAATTGATGGTTTACAGCTGCTCAAGGCGCTCTGGTCAGGGCACGGAATTCGTTGGGCAATTTGGGCCAAACACTGGGAGCGTATGTGGGAAGCTTTTGATGTACGTATCCTCTCTTCTTGATTTTTTCTTTGTGTTCTTTCACCTACAAAATACCAGTCCAAAAAGTTTGATATCTTATTCAGCTGATTGATACTGTTATGAAAGAGGATCTGGCTGAAGTCCACTCAAAGAAGTGTTGGCCACAAAAGGATGGTAAATGATACAGCTATTTTGAGGAGGTGGTCTTCTTGGTGGCCTATTGGCAAGCTATGAGAGATATGCTAGATATATTGACCGTAATTTTTGATTTGATTTCACTCAGTCTTCTCATATTTGATTTGTTTTCTTACCGTTTGTTTCCGCTTAACCTTGTCTTATAGACATATAAACTAATGACACGGGGAATGGAATGCGATAAACCGACCGGGTGTATGGTCTTAGTCAAATATGTGCAACTCAAATCTTTGATGGAAGAACAATTGGAAAATACCCAATCTTATCGGTCCTTGCTCATGATTATTCAGCAACACCAGCGACTTCTGCTGCCCCCTAGTGATTGTTTTCCATTGCTGATCAAGTCTGTACATCTTGATCAGAACCACCATATCACAGGTGGTTCATATGTCCGTGAGGGACTTGCGCACAACCTGTGATAGGTGACCCGTGAAAGGTTCGCAACCAGAATGCGGACACATTCTGAAACCGTGAGAACTTTCACCCTCGCCACTCACAGGCGTTCTCGACACTTGACGTTGCAAGTCCTCTCGCAAGGAATCATCACACAACTCACATTGAAGGTGATTGATTCTTTTTTGCTAAGAAACTATTCGACGTGATCAAGAATCGTCGATTAATTGAGTCCAACAACAAGGAAGTACAACCACATCTCAAAGTCATTCGTAGAAAATTGTTTATTTTCAATGGAGGACGCAACCCAAGACTCAAGTATGGAAGAAGCGATGCGAGCAGCCGCAGAGAGGGCAGCACAAATCACAATGACGAGATCAAGGTTGGTGGCACTTGGCCAACCTCCGGGCCCCCCTCTCCCAGCTTCACGACAGGACAACTCGTTAGCCACGCTGGCTAAAGCCTCCACCAATCGTACCAACAATCCGGTCAACACCTCCTTGCTGTCTGTGATACTGGAAGACATCAATGGAGACCCAATCCTCGACGACGCAGCCGCAATATCACAAGGCTCCTTAATTGGTTCAGACGCCAATGACGAAATCTCGTGGGCTCAGATGGACAAGGGGAAAGGAAGAGCCCTAAGCCGGACGAGCCCAACCCCATCAGAAAACAGCAGGTTATATCCAGGTAAGCTTCGAGGAGACATCCTTACCGATTTCCTTCACTTTCTCTAGACCGCATTCCTCTTCCTACCCAACATGAGAAGATAACACCGGAAAGGGGGGCTGACGGCCCATGATCCCAGAGCTGTGCGTACCCCATGATCTCCGAGAGGGGGGGTGTCGAGCGTACCGAGACAGAGACTCCAAGGATCCCAAGACAGTGGAGTAGGAGATGTCTGATACAGAGAGTTGTGTTAGCAGGAAACCTAGAGAGGTCGCAACGTGATCGACTAGAGCAGAGACTTACATGTGATACCCTGACAGATGAATCGAGCACAATCAGTGCCAACAAAAGAGTTGAGCTGTTGTTCCGGGCAGGGGAATATGCTGAAGCCAACACCCTCCTAAACAAGCTACTCGGCCCCACGAACGGAGACACGGGCAGTGTGATCAATGAGAGAGGCGAGAGGGTGCCGATGGCCAGTGGCAGCGGTCAATCCAGACCCCAACCTCGGATGGAGAACAGTCAACTCCCTAGGTCCCAATCATACCAGCTCCTGGCGGGGGACTTGTCGTCCAGAGAGGAAAGCATCGATGACCTACCCCTAATCAATCGGTCAAGGTTCAGCACAGCCAGAGGAACAAGGTTTGAAGAACCTACACACTCTAACCACCGGGGGCCACGTAACGACCCTCATCCTCACCAATCGATCAGACATCCTTCCCCCCCTCTTTATCGCCCAATTCCGGATACTCGCCTCCACCAACCTAGCCGGCAAGAAGCCCAAGCCCTCTTCCCTCAACCTGCACCAAGCAGCCGTCAGATAACGGCTCCAAGCCTCCGAACGATCCATCCGATCAAAACCACGGAAGACCTTGCCGAGGAGGAGCAGGTGAAGACCCTCCTAGCTGCGAAGAAAGGCAGATTGGTGCTAAGAAACAGCGACGTGGTGGAAAACGGACAATACCTAGTGAACAACGAGTCAGAAGAAATGGAAAATGGACTCACTCCGTTATCTCCAGTCCTGACACACTGGTTGAAGACCTTCAAGTCGTATATCCCACTTACGGCTTTCAACAAATTCTTCGTGGTGGACGACCAGCAAGAGTGGAGTCGGCGGAAAGCCCCGACTGAGTCGAAGATAGACAATGGTAGTGCCTCACTACGCATTTACGGCGGTCCACCCCCTCCGGAAGAGCTGATGATGCAATTTGAGGAATGGATTGATGCCATGTCACTATTCATCAAATACGTGGCAGATGCAGGATGGGTCACTTTACCTGAGCGTTTCGAAGGACACCGTGGAGTGGTGACGAAACTTAGAGACAATTTTGGATGGATGGTGGCATTGCGTTACTGCCGGAGGAGCCGTCAAGGTGTCATGCAGGAGACGACTGATAACAAGATCAAGAATTTCAGTAAACTCCAAACGGCAATCCTCGACGAAGTGAGATTGACGGTCGATGCATGGCAAGAGCGAGCTTACCGTACGAACTCTTACGCGGCTGGAGGCCTATTGGCACACATGAACCCCTTGTCTGGTCTCCCTCGAACATCATCCAGTTCATCTACGACCATCAAGAAAACTCAACCACAAATCGAGTTGGCCTCTCATAGAACAATAAAGACAGAAGGCAAGCCAGCGGATTGGATCCCCTCTTATAAGTGGCGCACGATGTCGGCAGAGGAAAAGGAGGATGCGAAGAGAGAGTCGGGGAGAAGAGACACAAGGAGTAGTCGCTGACAAGATGACGACAGAGGTCGTAATGATCGGGAGAGATACCGTGACCGGGCAAAAGACAGAAGATATCGCAGGCGTAGCCTGTTGAGAAGTCGTAGCCCGCGTAGAGGGAAAGGCGGTGGAAGAAACCATAGATCGTAAGCTGAAGTGAATCAAATCAGAACTCTTGCGTTGACAGAGAACAAAGCCCACCTTGCCCAGCTGAGAGTGAGTTGTGATCAAAGTGAGAGCCAGGACGTGAGACTTACCGTGCGATTGTTGCCCTTGTTTCATTTTTCCCGCTTCCCCTTGCTGGACAAAACAGGAGAAGCCCACCACATCCATCCCAGCCCTCCGTAACTCTGAGATACGGAACCAAATGGCCCATGTGAGCGTCTTGTGAGATGAATATTCAGGTGTGGGAGAGGGAACTGAGGAGAACAGGTCTGTTACCAACTTACGCCGATATACTAGTAGGTTTGAGGACAGGATTCCATCAAGGAATACAAAATGCCAGCATCCCAGACCTACCTTTTTTCTGCCCACCAAACCACTCATCAGCCAATTCTGCCAAAGTAAAAATAATGGAAGACTTCAAAATTGAACTAAGGAGGTACGCCAAAGGTTCAGATTTTTCAGAACTAGCCCAATTGGGGCGGTGGTAAACGGCAATGGATCCACGAGGCCGATCAATGACTTGTCATTTCCACGCAACAAGCCAGGGATATCATCAGTAAATGCGGGGGTCGAAAAACGAGATTTTGAAACCACCTGGGACAACTTCCAGGTAGTGGCAGACTTCTTGAGCAAGCTGAAAATTGACATACTGCTTGCAATCTTTGATTGGGCTAAAGCCTATCGACAGATACCCACCTCGCCAGATCAGTGGCAATTCCTAATGATTCTGACCTTCGATGACACCATACTACTTGACACGAGGATAACTTTTGGAGGAGTCGCGGGATGTGGCAGCTTTGGAAGAGTGGCCGATGCATGGAAAGCAATAATGTTAGCAACTTTCCCCTTGTTGGCAGCTTTCAGATGGGTGGACGACACAATGTTTGTGAAGCCACGCCACAGTACAGAGTCAATCACTGGCAGAAATATCGAAACTCATGAAGGAGATGGGAATCGTCGAAAACCTTGAGAAACAGGGCGAATTCGCCGAAGAGCAGAAGTATCTAGGCTTCATTTGGAACGGAACAGATAAATCAGTACGACTACCAGGGGGAAAATCAAACAGCGTATTGACAAACTCACCAAATTCTTGGCAGAGAAGTCACATTGTTTCAAGACGGTGGAACGGTTGGCAGGGCGGTTGAACCACACCTCCATGGTCCTACTGCAAATGAAATGCAATACTGTCGATATTTACAGTTGGATGGCAGAGTGGATGCACAAATCAGCACTCAGAGAAACACCAGAGACGGTTACGGAAGACTTACAACGCTGGTTGAGGGCCTTGAAAACAGCCGTACCAAGAAGGCTCATAATCAACTCGGAGATTTTGAACGTAGGATGGGTTGGCGATGCATCCACATCGTATGGGATTGGAATCATAATAGGACGGAAGTGGTCCAAATTTAGGCTAAGGAGAGCATGGGATTGCTTTGAGAACGGATCTCGCCGCGGCATCGCATGGGCAGAGATGGTGGCATTGCGTTTGGGTTACATCATGTTAAAGAACATCATGGAGGTTAAAGGCCGCCAATTTCTAATGCTAACAGACAATACAGTCACCAAATACGCAGTGAGGAATGGAAAATCAAGGGATAAGCGCGTGAACAGAGAGTGGTCAAACATCCAGGACTTACTAATGGCAAATCAGGCCTGTATCGAGGTGAAGCGGGTGATATCGGAAGATAACGCCGCCGACCGTCTTTCCCGAGGTTTTGACTCTTCAAAACTTGTTTTGAATATGGTCAGGATAAACTTACCCAAAGACCTCGAAGAAGTGTTGATCCAAGAAGCCTGACCGAACCTACCATCACATTGTCATCAACACCTATTGAACATGGCAAACTCAGTCAACCTCCCAAAACATTTCCAAGATGCGATGATAGGGACATCGAGGGCAGGGCGCCACACGGCCTCTGGCAGTTGGGCAACATCAACACTAGCGGGTTATAGCTCAGGGATGTCAAAATTTAAAGAATACAAGGAGAAGACAGCAGGCGGTTTTGACCCAGAGAGAGAGATATCAGACAACGATGTATATACCTTCATAGCGTGGGCTAGCAAGTTGAAGGAAAAAATGGATGACGGACCTGACAGACCAATAAGCTCCGTGACAATCAAGAAGTACCTGGACGGGATACGAGCCTGGCACATCCTTAGACACCTAAAAGTACCCACCACTAATCAGGCAGTCGTCAAAACACTATTAAACACAACAAAAAGGAGCAAAGAGGAGAAGAGGTTAGTTACCAACAAGAACCCGATAATGATTTGCCAAATGTTTGAGTTGCTACGGGGAACATACAATGGATCGGAGACGGAAAGGCTGATAGGAACGGTGGGATTAGTCGCCTTCTGGGAAATGGCCCGTCTGGGAGAACTCCTAAGAAACTCGGTGGAGAAGGGAGCAATCCTGAGAAGTCATGTAGAATTTGGTTCATTGAAAGGGTCACGTTTTGTAAGGTTACATCTGAGGAAAGCTAAGACGGCAGAACCTGGAGAGATACAAGTTATTCACTTACAACTACAGCACCATGTCCTGGACCCGGTAGCGGCGATACACCGGTGGTTTAAAAGAACAGATGAACGAGATCCAGATAGCATACTGTTTGCAACGCTCGAAAAAGGAGAAATCAGGCCGTTAACGAAGACAAGATTTCTGAACGGAGCGAGGAAAATATGGGGAAAGGCAGGAGTCAGTACCTGGAGCGGCCACTTGTTTTGAGTTGGGGGAGCATCATTACGATTCAACTTGAAGACCCCAATGGCGAAGATTGATAAACAGGGTAGATGGAAGTCGCTCACGTACTTAAGATACTGCAAAGCTTACAGCCAAGAGGAGCTGGAGGAAACAGAGAAGTTTTTGGAAGCAATCCACGACCCAACATGGGTGGAAAAATTGAAAAATTGAAATGAATAAGTCATCTACCACGAAAGCACAAGTCAGAACAATTGAGAAGCTGAGGACGTACCGTGAGCAAACCTTATGCAGTAAGCGGCATAGGAGGTGGCGCAAAGAGAGATCGGCATGAATTGAGCGCGTATGAACAAGAAGAACCAAGAAGGTCTTTTGATACATTAAGGTTTGAGGACAAGGCTCCTGGTGAGCGTGGTGGGTGTGTGCCCAAGGCTCAGGACGCCTGACCAGCCACCTGAGTGGGGGCGGGGTCGGACACACACACACCAAGACCGGGACGTGTCTACTTACTTAAACCCCAGCCTCAGAAACTTGGTTCACAAAAACCAGCCTCTTGGTTTGTGGAAACCAACTCCCGGGCCGGGGCGCTTTGCTACCCCAACCCACATACCCTTGACACACGAGTAAGGGGTATGCATTTGGGGGGACGTCGCCAGACACCCCAATCCTGTGAGGAGCTCAAAGAGCTCAGCCACCAGGACATAGATCCTCCCACAACTACTCGTAGCAAGTAGTAGAATGGAGAATGAGGCGGGATGCTGCCTTGAATGATTGAGATGGCTGTTGGTGATCAAATCTGGGCAAATGAAGGTGTACCTCTTGTTGGTGATTTTTGTGAAGTTGGGAAGGTTTCAGAGTTTGGAAAGAAGGCTATCAAAAAGAAAACAAGACACTCTCACTTCTAATTTTTCCTTTTTCCTTGTTTTCTTTTTGATTGATTCAACTTTTTCATTGCTTTTCCTTCACGCTCTTTTAACACCTTTTACTACCACTTGTTTTATCTTTCTCAACACTCATTTATGTTTCTTTTTATCAATAAAATTTTATTTCATTTTAAAAAAAAACACTTCTTTTTGGCCTGAAGAGCTGCTAGGCATACATATTGCTTTCAGCTGATATCTCTACGTGAGTTTCTTTTTGAGCTGCCCTTACAGCTTCCAAAGTTGAGAGAGGGCAAATGAAGCTGCACTTGCCAATCTGCGGTAAGGAGTGCTGCAAGCCAGGCTTGTTGCCTGATGTCAAACCCTCAGACCTGTATAAACCTATATTTCCATGATGTGAAACCCATCAAATATGGGTTTATACAGACCTGAGGGTCTGCATCTGGCCAGATGCAAACACTCAGACCTGTATAAATATAAATTGCTGTGACATCAAACCTATCAAAGAGGGGTTTATGATGACCAGAGGGGTTGCATGAACCCATATTTGATGGGTTTGACATCACAGCAATATGGATTTATTCAGGTCTGAGGGTTTGCATCTGTCTAGATGCAGACCCAAGGGTTTACAGATGATGTAATTTAAACAGCCTAAAGTGATCAATGATGTAATTCGATGTGACACAGCGCTTCTTATGATGACTACAGGCAAGTTTTCCTTATAATCTGGCTGAAAACCCATTTTTGAAGTTACAGGCTTGTGCAAATGATGTCCAATTTTTGATTACTAAAGTGCATCTTATAGAGCTTGTGATGCTGATTAACAATTGACCCCATATCATGTAATTTTGATGCATAATTCATGTGTTGGGTGCGCCCAGACCAGGAGCTCTGGGGAGTGCCTGGGAAGATGTTTTTGAGGGTTACATGTCCGCATGTAAGTGTAAAATTTGAAGTTCACTCCAATTCCTTATTCTCCTTATAACTTTCTTTACACACCTCTTTTTCTGGTGCTTTAAAGATTTTACATTATGTAATCAATGCTTCTCTACGTTAAATGGGGCATTTACCATCATGTTTTGACATCATTTACCACATGTAATAAGCTAAAAACCTCTATTTTTGACAAAGTTCACCCCTTTTCACCCCTTTACACAGACATTACTAATACTCTCTGGCTGCTGTAGTGTTACATCATCATCTATAACCATAGAAATCCGGGGAAAATCCTCTTGGCAGCCTTAAATATTACTAATACCACCATTACA